AGGTACAACATAAACTTGTGGAGAAATGTCTGGGAAGAATGAATTTCATTAGTTTAGATGGGAAAAAAATATGGATTATATCAGTTTTTTGCCCTTTAATAAACTAAGAAACTCCTAGGAAGTGGAAAGAGGGTGCAATGATTTTTCTCATAGACTTTCCCTGGATTTGGTCCCAAAGTGACTATATTAAGTAAACTTTTGAATATCTAGTCTTACACACACTTTGGCTTATTGAATGAAACAATCCCAAATTTTCATTACCAATAAGATTAATAATTTTGAATGTCTTAAACATAAGATTAAGATAGGATTAGTTCCTCTCAAAAGAACCTTCCATTTCACCTCTCTTTACCTTAGCTAAAATACCAAACAAAACAAAACAAACAAACAAACAAAAAAAAGCAAACCCAAAGGCTTCATTCTTCTGGTCTTTATTCTTTGCACTAATACTGAACCCAAGAAAACAATTTATATGCCTGTGGTACATAGATGTTGAAGGTAGGATATTTATCTACTGTAGATGCTCACAGAATTCCAAAATTACACAGTTGGAAGGGGCCTCACATATCATCCCACCCAACCCATGCCCAAAAGGAATCTCCACTACAACCAAGCAAACAAATGGTCATCCAACCTCTTCTTGAAGACTTCTGTAGTCTGCTAAATAGAGCTAATGATACAAGATCGAAAAAGTTCTTGACAGGTAGAACATTGAGCTGAATCTAAGAATATGAAATTCAGTAGAGATAAAGTCTTAACTCAAAAAATCAGTTTCACAAGTACAAGATGGGAACAGTAATGGTGAGAATGCAGTTTGTCTGAAAAAAAGATTTAAAGGTGTAAGTATGACAGCCAAGGAAGCTAAAACAATCTTATTCTTCATTAAGATACATTTACTTCCAGGAATAAGGAGGTGATAGTCCCACCATACTCTTTCCTGATCAGACGTTAAAGTTGAAGGACATTTATAAGTGGGAGAATATCCAAGAGGAGAATCCAAGAATGATGAAGGGTCTCAAAGTAACAACATATGAGCTTTGGTCAAAGGAACTGAGGTGTTTAATTAGGGATAGAGAGACTGGACTTGATTCTCAGGTTTGTTCCACCCTTGCTTTTGAAAAGGAGTAGTAGAAGGAAGGAGCAACTATCGAGCTTAGCGTGGAAATGAGCAATATGCTGAGAAATAAGCCATGATAATCTATCAGGAAATCTGGACTGATTCTGTTAGGACACAGAAGGAGCAGCCAAACCAGAGATCTGCAGCTACAGGGTAGTAAAAAGTGGCCCAAGGGGGCCAGGTATCTCTTTGCTACTTCCTAGTACAGCTACACAGTCCTCTTCTATTTAGCCAATTATTTTAGCTTGAAAGTTCTTTAAATGTTGTCTACAATTTTATATAATTTAGCTACTATAAAATCCTCTTGGCCAGCAGAAATGCAAAGCAGCATTTGTATTTTATTTAAGGCTTACCAATAGAAAAGATAAGGGAGAGATTATTCCTTATTTTAGAGGAGAAAAAAGGCTTGATTAGCAGGATCAAGATGGAAGAATAAGACTAGACTGTACAAGCCTGGCATATGAATTTAGAATTCAGCTACTCCTAGAAAACAAATCATGACCAGGTGAGAGCTGGCTGCTAAGAGGAGCAAAGCCTGGGTAACCTCACTTTCATTTTCGAACTACTGACAGTCATTCTTGTTAGTCTGGGTTTGAAAGGAAAACCATGTCCCTTGAGGGAGTAGGAAAACTAAAGTCATGCCTCCCCTTGCCTGTCCTGAAATGGAGACACCTGTCACCATTAACACCCGACCACCACCACTCCCCACTGGCTCTGCATGCCTTGCTTATTAGTGCCACCTGCTGTCTATATGTAGTGTCTTCTCTGGGAGTCAAGGTCACTCTGTCTGTCTCTCTGCCTCTATCTCTGTCTCTGTCTCTATCTCTCTCTCTCTCTTTCTCTTTCTCTCTCTCCCCTACCCACCCACCCTCAGGTCTCTCTGCCCTAGTGGCAACCTATGTCTCCAATCACGGGAAATCCATCACCCACACATCTCATTCCACTTTGGGATGTTTCTAATGATTAGGAAGTTTTTCATGACACCAAGCTTAAATTAAATGTTTTTTCACCCTCCACTTATGACTTCTAGTTCCTCCCATGGGGCCAAACAGAATGAACCTAATACTTCTTTCAGGTACTTTCAATTACTTGTTTGACATAATGATCACAGCCTCCCCCAGTCTTTTCCTCCCCAAATTGAACACCTCCAGTTCCTTTGACCAAAGCTCATATGTCATTACTTTGAGACCCTTCATAATTCTTGGATTCTCCTCTTGGATATTCTCCCACTTATAAATGTCCTTCAACTTTAACGTCTGATCAGGAAAGAGTATGGTGGGATTATCACCTCCTTATTCCTGGAAGTAAATGTATCTTAATGAAGAATAAGATTGTTTTAGCTTCCTTGGCTGTCATACTTACACCTTTAAATCTTTTTTTCAGACATACTGCATTCTCACCATTACTGTTCCCATCTTGTACTTGTGAAACTGATTTTTTGAGTTAAGACTTTATCTCTACTGAATTTCATATTCTTAGATTCAGCTCAATGTTCTACCTGTCAAGAATTTTTTCAATCTTGTATCATTAGCTATCCCTTCTATTTCTGTGTTATTGATCAATTTGATGAGCATGCCATTTGTCTTTAAGTCACTGATTTAAAAAAAAAAAGTCAAGGGGTCTAAGTACAGATCCCTGGGATGCTCCACTGGAGACCTACCACATTGACATTTAACCACCAATGACTACTTTTTGGGTCTGACTATTGACCAGTTCTGAATCCATCTAATTTATTCATGTCTGGTCTCCCCATATTTTCCCCAAGAATAGTATGAGATACCTTATCAGATATTTTGTTAAAGTCCAGGTAAACTATATCCCTGATCTATTTTATTATGAACTTCCTCATAAAAGGAAATAAAGTTAACTCTGGCGTGACCTGCTCTTCATAAAGCTCTGTTATGTTGTGTTTTGTAACCACTATTTTCTTTGGGAGATATTCAGTATCTCTTTAATGATCCTTTAATTCCAGAATCTCCTCAAAGTCAAGCTCTGCTGCTCTCAGGTTCATCCATACATTTTCCCCTTTCTCATTTTCTGTATAACTTCCTAATATCACTAATAGTACAGTGCAGTGTACAGTAGTTCATTCATCTGAGCCAGGTGATTTGAATTTATAAACGGTGAGTAAGCATTCTCTCTGGGTACCAATTCTCTGTTATCCATTATCTCCCCCTGCACTTTCAGTGCAAAACCCTTGGCAGAGAAAATTCAAGCAAAACAAGAATTTTGCTCCTCTGTGTTCTCTGTTATCAGTTACCTATCCACTTCAAGCAGTTGTCCTATATTTTCTTTGCTCCTCTTTCTCCCCAAAGCTCAAAACTGAACAAAACAAAAAAGCAAAAACCCTTTCTATTGTTTAAGTCAGGCTCAAGCCTTGAGAATGAGGGAAATGAAGGTACCTTGGGGTGAGGTGGGGGTAGGGGGGACCCATCTAGGTACCACTGCTAGGGTTTCATGCCTTTATCTCTGTGTCAACCTCACCATTTCACTCCATCTGAATGAACACTACTGTACCTTCCCACGACCAACGTCATTAGTGGAGAAGGTCAGCAGAAGTAGGTGAAGTTTAACCTTTGGACAAACTCCCCAGTTATCCAAAGAGTTAACTCAGCAACCATGGGACTATGACGGTAGAAGGAGAATGCTCTGCCTAAAAATACAAACAACGTTCTGTCAATGGCCAGGAATAAGTCTCTGCAACCGCAGCAGAAAAGTTTCTCCCCTAAGTGTAAAGGACTTTTAAAAAGCCCCAATTACCCAAACGTCTGTCTATACAGCAAGACCTGGAGAAAAATCAGTCCTTGCTCTCATCTCTTGTTGGATAAGTACATACATAGCCTGCTCTGTGTGTTCACGCCTGGTTATACTTCACAGCTTATAAACCCGCAGGGAGGATATGTATTCTCTATACAACACAATCCCGTTAAGTTTACTTTTCTCTCCGCTCCACCCAGCAACTCTCCAATCCCAGATGCTCCCTCTAGCTCCCAGAAGTGTCTTTCTCATCCCCTCTTTCCCTCCTCCTTTCTCTCCTTCCTTTTCCCCCCTCTCCCTCTCTATTCTCTCAGACTGAAGAATTTAAGGAAAAGCACCCTCTGGCTACACGTTTTTTAAAAATCACACCTTGGAGAATGAAATTCCGAGCTACGGGTGAGTTAAGGCAGAAGTGAGACCCCGGATTCTCATTCTCTCTCTCTCTCTCTCTCTCTCTCTCTCTCTGTCTCTCTCTCTGTCTCTCTCTGTCTCTGTCTCTCTCTCTGTCTCTCTCTGTCTCTCTCTCTCTGTCTCTCTCTCTCTCTCTCTCTCTCTCTCACACACACACACACACACACACACACACACACACACACACACCCCACCACCACCACCACCACCACACACCACATACCACACCACACACACACCCCACACACTCACGCACACACACAGATTCTCTCAGTCTTTGCCTCTCTCCTTGGCTCCACGGTCCCTGTAACTCAGCCCATCCAGAATTTCGGAGGAGGCCGAGGAGAGGAATTCGCTCAGCCCCACCCCCTTCCCCTTCTACTCCTCCAAACTTCTTTCCCTTTGCTCTTCAATTCCTCCAACCTGACCCCTCTTTCCCATCGAGCTCCTCCCCTAGCCACACTTAGGGATCCTCCTCCTCCACCCCCTCCTTCAGTTAGGACTCCCCCCAACCCGCACCTCCTCCTCCTTTTCTCTCCCCGCGGGGTTGCTCTCCCCCCACTTTGGCTCTTGCTGCCAAAGCCATGATGTAATGGTGTATGTTAATCAGTAGCATGTGGGGAGCTCGACTCGGTCTCGGTCGGCCCCAGTCCTCACTGAGCTGACACAGGAGGCGGCATCAGTGGCTGCAGCGGCGGCAGTCGAGACACTGCCGCAACCACCACCGCCACCGCCCCCCGCCGCCAATCCCCCAGCCCTCGGGGAACGCGCCCCCGGACCTGGCCTCCGGGATGGCCCACATTCGCGGGCCTCTGGGTTCCCCACTCCTCTGAGAACTGCCGCCTACCCTGGAACCCGCTGTGCGGGGGCGCCAGCCCGCAGCGATGAGCTGGGCCGAGGTGAGTGACCCTTCCCGTTCAGCCCCACACACTTCTGGGGGCCGGGAGCGGGATTCCTTGGCCTCTTCCCAGCCTAGGGCTTCCTCTTCTGTTTGGGAAGTTTGGGAAGCCAGGAAGGGAGGGTGGGTGAGGTATGGGGATGCTTGAAGCCTGAATTGCTGAGAGTTGGGTCTAGAGTCTGGGCACATCTCTTCCCACTTCCAGATCCAATCCCTGAGACCTGGAGAAGATGAGGAGGGAGAGGGAGGGAATATGGGGGGTAGGACAGGAAAGCCACAGGAACCTAACTTTTTTTTCTTTGCGATCAACGTTTGGGGGCGTGTGCTGGCAGCGCGGAACCGCATTCTCCGCGGAGCTCCTTAGTCTGCTAATGAAACCATTCCGGGCTTGGGCGGCCAAGAAGCCGCCAGGGTCTCTAGCCGGGAAGTCGTTTCGGGGATGCCAGTGCGGGGGTGGGGGGAATGTGGAGAGGCTCTGTGCCAGACCGACCCACCCTGCCGGGAGGAGGAAAAAAGGGTGTTAAAATGCTTTTATTTTTATTTTAATATCATACCAGGCTTTTTTGTAAAGAGAAGACAGAAGAGGGAGGGAAGTCGGAGGAGGGAGGGAAGTCTGGAGGCTCTTTGCTCCTGCAGGTTGTGTGTTAAGGCTTGGGTGGGAAGAGTTTATTTTTGTCTTTCGCTGCTGCTGCTCAAGGCCTAGATTCAAAGGGGAGTCTGGTGGTTGGAGATGCTGGTTGGTGTAGATGGAGCGGCAGCCGCTAGGCTGCTTCTCCGAGAGGAGGAGGAGGGAAAAGAGGGAAGGAAGGAAGGAACCTGGATTCTTGAGGGGGCCGCCTCCCCCTCGGCGTATTGTAAGTTTTCTTTGCTCGAATGATCTGTTGCAGTTAGCTGTATCAGGTACAATCCCTAAAGTCCTCAGGGAAGAGAGACCCGTATGCTGCAGGAGGAGGCAGTAGCCGCAGCCTCAGCAGCAGCAGCAGCAGCAACAGGAAGCTGCTGGGGTCTCCTCCTGCACCTTAGTAGGGAGATTTCTTTAATATCTCCCCTGGAAATCTCGTTATCTACATCTCTCAGTGGTGCATGCGGGGGGTGTGGGTGAACCTGTTTTTTTTATACTCCACTCCTCTACACATCTTCCCCCGTCCCCTCCCCCCATACACTACTCAAATTATTGACCTGAAATCTCCTAAAATACATTGTGAAGCGGGAGGCTACCCTGCTGAATCATGCCGTTCTCCTTATCTCCACTGGTGTCTAAGCGCAGCCAATTTCTCTCTTTCCAGTTGTAAAACCTGGGAATTCGGATGTGAAGAAGGGTCTGACCTGTTGCCGGAGGGAAAAAAGAGCTGGAAACGTCTGAAACCCCTGGCTGAGCGAGAGAGAGAGGAAAAAAAAGAGAGAGCGAGCTGTACAGTTGTGTGCCTTGTGGAGATTTTTTTTCCATATTAAAAAAACAAAATCCTGTGCTACCGTCATCTTCGTTGAGGAAATCAGCAAGAATCACTGAAACGTAACTGAAGGAAGAAGGGAACATAATCTGCAAAATCCATGCAGCAAAGGCGATTTTTTTCTAAAAGGACGTTATTCTGGTGATCATTAAGGTTGCAACTCCAGTAAACTTTGGGGTGGGGGCAGGGTGGGAGGGGGATTTGTATTTGTTTCCCCCCTCTCTCCCACTGAGCCTTCCTCCCTAATCATGATGTTTCGAGATCAGGTCGGAGTGCTGGCAGGTTGGTTTAAAGGCTGGAATGAATGTGAACAGACTGTTGCTTTGCTGTCCCTTTTAAAGCGGGTGAGCAGGACCCAGGCTCGCTTTCTTCAGATCTGCCTGGAGCATTCCCTGGCGGACTGCACTGAGCTTCACATTCTCGAAGGAGAAGCCAATAACCCCGGTAAGTTTGGTGCAACCAATCCATTTTGACTACGAACTTGTGCTCTTATCCTCTTATCCTTTGCTCCCTCTACCCCATGTTCCCTCTCCTGTAACAGCAGAAGCAAGGGGACAAGAAATGCACTAGGTGACAGTTTCTTTATGTATAGGCTTTCCCACCCCCACCCCTTTTCCTTTAAAGCTGCTGACTTACCTCAACTAGATTTTTTTTTGCACAGTGAAGTACTTCAGTCCATTTGGTGTTGTAACTGGGGTACTACATGCTAACTGTGGTAGCATGAATGATTGATTTTTCTTTCATGCAGTTTCCTATGAAATAAGTAAGTCAGATCACGTACAGTCTGGGTTTTCTGGGTTTCTTTTGGACAATGTGGCTTGCTTGATTTAAGCAACGTAGGAATAAGCCCAGTATGGTCCCTAGGAAGTCATTACATTGCTTCAATATTATGTGTAAAGAACAGATGATAAAAATAAAATTAGTATTTTCATCCCTCACTCACTTCCCTTCCTCCCTTCCTGCCCCACCCCCACTTTTTTTTACAATTCTGTGTTAGAGTAACTTGTTCTCTGGACGTGACACAATATACTATTAAAAGGATAGTGAATGGAATGTGCACATGATATTGTTATAAGTGGCCTTAACCACAATACCTTAACCTGGAGGTATTCCCTCACTTGGGGAAATCCAGCCCAGCTGGAAGTCTCACCTCTCACCTCCCCCACCCCACTTACATTTTTAAGTGTTTCATAACTATTTCTGGAGCCCTATTAGCCCCATTCCTGTAAATGAACCTTTTATTACACAGCCTGCCTTGATATGAGCCACAAATTTACCTTTAAGTAATCTATATGGAATTTGCACATATATACAATTCATTTATATTTGTGTTTTCATAAAGAAATCACCAAAAACTACATTTTCAGATTTTTTGATTCTGCACTTGTTTGTAACCTGTTCAAGAGTTGCAGACTTCTAATATAGTTGGAAAATCCAGTGCCTTTTCTTTTGCTAGCTTTGTGGAGAGAGATTTTAAAATAGCTTGTGTGCGGGTAGAGGAAAAAGTCTGTCGAATTGAGTTTTTGGATAGGTGAAATTCTTTAGGCCTTATTGCAGAAGGATACTGAACAGAGCCCCCAGTGTTTACTCAGAGAAAAGAATGCAGGGTCCTTCTCCAGCTGTTCCATATTAGAGCACTGAGCCTGCAAGATTTGGCAGATGTCTATGCTGCCATTTAATGATATTATCCAGTACAGTTAGACCTAGGATTTATTTAAGTATGCCTTTAAAAAAGGAAAAAAGAGTTGTCCTGGTTTAAAACTCTGTAATCAGAATGATGAAATATTTAGAATGGGAAATGTCCTTATTTAGAGCCATCTACCTAGGAGAGACCTTTAGAAGTACCTATGCTGACTCTAGGACAGACTGCATTTAAGTTAAGTATATTCCTTTTTAAGATAACTACATGGAAGGAGATTCCACAGATTCTTCTTGGGAAGTCCATTGTTTAATAACACTCAATGTTACTTTAAAATTCTGATAAAGAATATTGCAGCATGTGTTTCAGCTCAATAACACATTTGTAAACAAGAAAATGGTTCTACCTCATTCATAAGTGTATTGATCATAACCAAGAGAATTGTTTCTTATCTTTAAATCAGTCTCTAACAGAACAGAGCAATAATTCTAGTTGGCTGGCATGTAAATTTGTTTTTGCTTCTCTGAATTTGACAACTATTAATATATAGACATTTATGTTTTATTGCTAATAAAGATTGAAAGTACAATGATTCTTATGTAATATTAGACTTTTCAGTAATTGGAGAACAGATTTTAAGTGATAAAATAATCCCTATGGCACTCGAGGTAATTTTTAGTAATTCTTTGACTTAATTAAAGGAATTTTAGCATAGTGACTAAATTGCCTATAAAGGTGGAAACAGGTTAGAAACTCAATTATTTAAATTTATGATAGAAGCAATTTCTCAATTTTTAAAAAAGATATGCTTTCAAAAATGTTATAAACTAGTTAACTAAAAAGTTGAAGCACTTCATTTTTTAAAATCATGTGGTTGTTCTTTTCTCTTTGTTCCTTAAATTTTAAACAATAATTCCAATTTAACATCTGGTCACATAGGTGCTGACATAAAAATAGGAAAGGTCAGTGACAATATAAAACCAGTTAAGTAGAGATAGCCTACGTCTCTTCTCTTGTTGATACATCTCCAATTATAAATTAATAAATTTAACATCTTTCTATTTCTGGATTTACACTTTAGTGGCATTAATAAGCATATCTGACCTATTCCTCTGTTATATTTTTTCCAGTAAGGAAGTTCTGGCTGAATAAATATTTTTACTTGTGTAGATGATATTTAGTTTCAATTTGGAATCTAGAAGTTAAAAGGAGTCCAAGGATTTAGAGTAATATTTCAGCTATTTGGATCTCAGCTATCCAGCAACTTGATCCATGTAAAATCTATTTGTATTTATATTATAGACCATAGGCTAGAATGAGGATGCAAAGAAAACAAGGCTTTTGAGCAGCTGACACAAATCTCCTATACCAAGTTTGTGTACTTTATTCATAGAAGAGCTCTTTAGGTCCTTGCTTTACTCTTAGTTTAAACAAACTTCATTAGCTGATCGCCAAACTCATCACTGAATAAAAGCAAAAAGATTATGAGAAAAGGGAGAAGCTGCCACTCACACCTAGGCACATGTAGGCCAATAAGTAATAAATAGCCTGATGAAAAAGTAAGAGATGGAAAAAGTATACAAAGTAGCATGAAAAGTAAAAAAGCAATACATCTCATTGCTATTTTACTTTGGGGCACATACCTTAATAGATCTAGGGGCACCCCTGATCATTTAACAAATACATTCAGTAGATCCTTGAAATCAAGGACTGGATCAGTTTTCATTTCTATATCCTCAGTGCATAGGTACCAAATAAACGCTCCTACTGCAATTGCTTAAAACTTAAATGGTTCTCAAAGTGCAGTCCAGGAACCTCTGGGAGTCCTTGAGATCCTTTTAGGGGATCCATGAGGTCAAAAACCTTTTCATAATAATACTAAGATGCTAAAGTTTCTAACATGGCAACTATTAATAGATATAGCCCACATCATCCAGAGTTCTTTTAAGAGTTCAAAGAGAGTCCTAAGACCAAAAAGTTTGAGAACTGCTGCCTTAGATAATATCCCTGCCAAATGCTAGTCTGCATGATATGGAAAAAGGTGAGGTACAGAGTAATACTTCATTAGTGATTATATATTACTGTCTACAGGCAGAGGTGCTTTGAATAAGTGTATCTCAGAATCACAGAATTTAAGAGTTGGAAAGAACCTCAGTAGCTATTTGTTTCAGCTCATACACTGTCTAGAGGACCAATACTCATTGTTTAGAAGGAAATATTCCTAAAGCAGTGAAGAACAATTCATTTAATTTCCCTAGTTTAGTGGACATTTCCCTTAAGAGCTCTCAGTTCCTCCTTTGTCAGATTCCCTCCTTAACTTTTTTATTATATTGTTTGACCCCTAGAATAGACTGACCCACCTGGAGGAAAGTACCTAGTGCAAAAAAGTTGAACCAATGTCCTTGCTAAGTGTAGTTCCCGTGAATTAATACACTGACATTACAGTTCCTAAATTTTCTCTCTTCTGAGTTTCCTTAGTGTGAATCAGTTCCCCTAGAGTCAAATTGGCTCTGATTCGGCCAATTGTAACAAATCAAGTTCCATATGCCATGTTTAAAAATCAGGGAAGTGTGTAATACATTTTGGAAAGATTACTATTCTAAATGGCTAAAATAGAAAAGACAATGGTTTTAGTGCTTAATGTATGGACCCAGAATGATTACTTCCCTGAGATTTTCAAACAGTTGAGATTCTCCTATGCACTTGCTTCTGTACAGTGCTTACAACCTTAGCTGTAAAGCACCACTTATTTTATTTTGTGATAGTTAAAGAAAGTTTTTCTTTTATGGCTCTCACTGCTTTAGTTTGATGAACAGTGTCAATAGCACACAATTATCCTCAGTTTCTCCAAAATGATTATCTTAAAACAGATTTGAGGCACTACATACATTAGAAATGAAGACTAATTGAGACCCAAAATAAATTATTTTTGGATGCCTGCCTTTCATTGTTGCCAAGTTAATAGGTATTGAGCAGCCACTGGTAGTGTAATTGGATGCTAGGCGCTATCCTCTTCATATTCCTCATTTTTATCTTTCTCAGCTTCTATCAAACTGAAATTTCAGCCAATAATGATCAGTGTTTTTTTTGCCTACAAGGATTGATTCAGTGATCTGTGACTATACCCTGGTTAATAAGTAGCTAGCAGGCATTATGATAAGAAAGGCAAAAGACAGTCCTTACTCTCAAGGAGCTCACAATCTGATGGAAATTTAATTATACCCTCGAGATTGATGATGCCCAAATTAGCTACTTCAACAGAAACTTTAAGTTAATGCTTAACACCTTTGTATAAGTCTTATCTAAGGTAAAGGCTACATTGGCAAAGAGAATATAGAAAATAGGCAAGTTGATTATCTATTCTGTAGATAACAGAGAGCCATAAGCTAGGTGGTGCAGTGGATAGAGTGTTTGGACCTGGAGTCAGGAACACTCATCTTTATGAGATCAAATCTGTCCTCAGACACTATAACCCTGGGCAAGTCACTTAACCCTGTTTGTCTCAGTTTTCTCATTTATAAAATGACCTGGAGAAGGAAATGGCAAACTACCCCAGTATCTTTGCTATGAAAACCCCAAATGGACACAACTGAAATGACTAAACAACAAAATCTGCAAATGATTATCAAACTGTCAGAGAAGTTACTTGGCCTTCATATTTAAATCACTATCTTAAAAATTAATTTCATTTAAGAAATTTGTTAGTGGCTCTTTAGAACTTTGAACATAGAAATAATGTTTTAAATGATGATTAATCTCCCATGCTGGCTGACAAAAGCCATTTATAACTATAATCCAGTTAAAA